TCTTCCTTTCGGCTAATGTTTCTGTATTCCTACAGACAGGCTAGCAACCTTCAGAGGGTTGCAGAATCGTCTAGTCTGATTACTGATTTACTTTTTTTAATGCAACGTTTTTAACATTTTTAACATTTCATATAAAATGTAATATGCTGATTTATTACCCTATTTGTCTTCTACTTGTCCCATCTGTTCTCTGCATCTTTTTCTATTCTTTCTTGACTGTTATTTTTAGATGATCCAATTTTCACCCTCTATTATCTTATTAGTTACATTTCCTTTTGCTGTTCCTTTAGAAGTTACCCTAAGACTATAGACTACACTCTTGCCTTATCATAGATTAAAATAAACTAGGACTATGATACTTTCTGAATAAACCAAGGACTTTAGAACATTTTAAGTCAATTTTCTCTGACCTACACACTACTGTTATGAGTTCTGATAATATATATTTTTATACCCCACAAGAAATTAACTATATTGATCTATACTCACATATTTACCTTTTCTAATTTCCAACTTTTCATCAAGAAACTTTTTATAAGGAATATCTCTTCCTTTTAAGTGAGGAGACTATTGGTGATGAATTATCTCAATTCATGTCTCCTAGCTTTACAATCCCCTAAATCCCCTACTATGGCTAGTTATTTGTGATTGAGTGCCAGACATTGTTTATGAAAAATTACTGAACAACTATAGCCTATGATAATGTTGTCTTTCTCCAGAGAGAATTCACTTTTTCTTCTAAGTGACCAGAGGATCCAGCTAATCCAAACCATCTTAATCTCATCAGGAATGAAGTTTCAGTTACTAAGAAAAATAGTATATGTAGTGGGATAGAATCCTTTGAGTGATAGGTCTTGATTTCCAATTTTATTACCACATTTACACAGGTATACCAAAGTTCTACTAAAGCTCACAGCCTGTTAGACTCCTCAAAAGAAGTAACCCTGTAACGAAATGACTCAAATGTTAGGCTCTCCTCTTGAATTTCCTTCTTCCAGACCTTGGCCCTATAATTTTGTTGTTGTTGTCATAATTTCCTTGTTATTTCTAGTTTTTTTCCATTATTCTCAGCAGGAGGGGTGATCCAAATTACCAAGTCTTATCCATTACATACCTACTCCTCTTACTAAGAAAGAACCTTGTATATTTGAATAGAAAAGTGCTAGCTGATACAGGCTTCCCACCAGGAATCCTTGCAACCAACCAACAAGTTTTTTGTTTTTCGTTTTTTGTTTTTGTTTTTGTTTTTGAAGACCAAGAAATCAATTGCGATTAACTGAGAGAGGCAACAGGGAGTCTTTAGGAAACTAGAAAGTATGCCTAAAAAA